TAACACTGGCCTACTTACTGAGAGAGAGAGAGAGAGAGAGAGGGAGAGAGAGAGAGAGAGAGAGAGGGAGAGGGAGAGGGGGAGGGGGGGGGGGGGGGGGGGGGGGGGGGGTTATGGCGTCTACCAGGTCAGATCGATAGTTAGGCAAATATATCTTGTGGCACGTATATCCTGTCTCTCACGGACGAGCCGTTTACACTTGCCGCACACACGCAGCCTGTTTTGTAATGCTCATTTATAGCCTACTCGTGCCCGGCTCCACACCGCAAGTCTCCACGAACGCATCTGGCAATATGGACGAGGCTTGATGCACATGTGCAACCTGTGTTAACTCGCGCCGGGCTCCGCGTTTAAAACAAATGTAAATTCAATCTAACTGCTTTGCTAATTTCACTTGGATGAAATGAAACATTCAGCACATTTTCCACTTGTTCTTAAAATCCCAAATACTAAAAAAATTAATAAATCAGCCTGTGTAACATATGTAATACTTTAATAATTGACTAAAGTAATACAGTTCTTTATTTACACAAAATAAACAAATTGTTCCTGTGAAATTCAGTAATTAAGTAAATTCTGTAAGAGCTGTAACCATTATAATCTTCCCTGCTGAAAAAAAAACAAAAACAAAACAAAACCCCTCCCAAAATGCAAAAGAAATGTTAATGGATTTAAGGGATATAATGGGAATTGTATTGGTATTAATGTATATTATAATGGTGTCTACTGGTATTTGATGGATTATATTGGTGGGATGTAATCTGGCATATGGGAACCAATAGAACAACAGTAATTCAAATTGAAATAATGCCCTAAACTCTATTGTTTTTTGTTTTGTTTTTTCCCCACAGGGTAATGATAGCCATACTGGGCTGCACACTATTGACAATATTGAGCTGAAGCTTGACTTTGCAAAATTAAAATTTTCACATTGCAATCGCAATACAGTATCTGTCAAAAAAAAAAATCGCAATTAGATACTTTCCCCAAATCGCACAGTCCTAATATTCATAAGGTATTTTAGTGTGGAGATGGATTCAGCACCAGGCTCTCAAGTCCTTTTGGGCTGATCTGTTACCTTCTTGCTCACAAGGTCTGTGCGAGGGAATTATGTGATTTAGAATGCAGCCTGACAGTTGCTTTTTTCCTAAATGAATCAACAATTTAAACAAATTGGTTGAATTTATTATTCAATGATTAAAAATTTGTGCCAACTGCTGGCAGTTTAATTCCACACTTTTACTATATTTTAATTACAAAATATTTCAGCATTTAAAATGTAATTTTTAAAGCATGAATCTTTTGAAATAAATTGTAATTACAATGTAAATATATTTATGTAACTTCTTGGCTGCGTTAAATAAATCAAGTAAATAATAACAGTCCAGATACAGCTTCATTATCATCTCTGCAGGGCAAAAATGGATATGGTTTATACAGATTTAATTTGATTGGTAACTTCCCTATAGTGTTGTCTTGATTATTTAATTTATTCTATTGGAGTAGCTGTGGCCTAATGGTAAGAGAGTTGGACATGAATGTAATGGGTTCAAGTCTCAGTACCGGCAGGAGTTGTAGATGGGGGGAGTGAATGAACAGCGCTCTCCTACACGCTCTCCAACATCCCTGAGCAAGGCATTGAACCCCTAATTGCTCAGATGTGTGGGTGTCTGTCCATGGTGTGTGTGTTCAGTACTCACTGCTGTGTGTGTGCACTTGGATGGGTGAAATGCAGAGCACAAATGCAGAGTATGGGATACCATATTTGGCCGTCACATCACTTAATCACTCACTCACTCACGAAATTTAAGAATTTTCATTTAGTGAGGTTAAGAAAAATGCCCTTATAAATAAAAAAATACACCTGGTTAGGTGTGCAAACCTTGTCCTTTAATGGAAAATTCAATTTATGTTAATTCCTGTGAACCAGAAAATACTCTGAAGTCAGAGAGACCTAGTCCAACGTATAAACACAGTAGCGTGTTTGTGTAGGGGACAGATGTGTGCATGTGTGGTTTGGATATTCCTAGAATTGCCCCTGGTACACATGCTGTTCTTCATCAGTTTTTGCTAATGAAGCATTAAAAGTTACATTGTAACATAAGATCCCAATCTCTGATTTAATGTCTATATCTGTACACTGTAAAAAAAGATACATTATATTTACTCAATAAAAGTGTATCAACAGATTAGAAACAATATTTTTAATTAAATTCAACATATAATACATAATTAGAATTAATCAAATGAGGTGCTTACAAGTTAACCATTCAAAATGAATAAAATAGCACAAAAAATATTGGATTCATTGGACAAAAAAAAAAAAACTCCTATGCTAATGAATACTATGTTATGCATGCTAGGCCAGTGGTTGACAATCAAGAAACACTACGCAAAAATGTAATAAACAGGCACGTGTTTTTGTTGTTTACATGGGGATAAGACAGGCATCATGTTCTAAACCTTGTGTTTTCCAACCCTCTAAACTTAGTTACAGCATGCAAACCACATTTAATGTTAACAAATCAAGGGTCAAGAGACCAACTAAAGCAAACACTGACCACAGTAATGGTAACCACAAATTTTAAATGAGCGTTATTAAAGACACCTGATGTTAACAAACAGAATCACTTAAGGAGAAAATAACAATTTTAGGTTACCATTAGAATGGTCAGTGTTTTATTTATTCGGTCTCTTTACCCTTGACTTTTTAAGATTAGATATTGTTTGGCTAATGTAAATTATACAACAGCTAGATGAGACAAGAGAAAGGTGATTGGGTGGTGTTGGTAATGTTTTTCCATAATTATCATTTTACCTGAACTCATTAACACCTAATCTCTGAGTTAGATTTATCCTGTGATTCTACAAGACAAGACCTAGAATTTCCAATATAACCCAAAGATGTTCTCAAAAAATTGTTCTGATCAAAAATGCGGGAAGAAAAAAAAAAACACACTGACATCAATAACCAGCGTATGAATCTCAACAACAGTGACAAACAGCATATTAAAGGGGTCATATGATGCTATTTTAAAGATCATTATTTTGTGTATTTGGTGTGACAGAATATGTTGACATGCTTTAATGTTCAAAAAACACATTATTTTTCAAATACTGTACATTATTGTAGGTCCTCTATGCCCCGCCTCTCTCAAATGCTTCGTTTTCTACAAAGTCCCTCCTTCCGACAAGCGCAGTCTGCTCTGATTGGCCAGCTGACCCAGTGCATTGTGATTGGCCGAACACCACAAGCACGTGTCGGAAATGTAACGCCCCTTACCATAATCGCGAGCTTCATCTTTCAAAGTAAACATCAAGACAGTTAGTAATATAGTTAGCTTTACCATCAGTTCAAGCCTGAAAGGGCAACAGGGATGATGCAGTTAAAACAGCTGATGTGCTATAATTTCTGACAGACAGTTCACTCTCCTGTGATGTGACCCTGTTCCCCTCACACACACACACACAACGCGTAACTCTGCGCTGCGCAAAACTCCACATTTGAGTAGTCAATAGCAAATACTTAAACTACTAACAAAACATACGTACAGTCGCTGATTCAGAAGTGCCAGATTATCATAGCAAAGTCGGAATTGACCTTTGTGCACAGCCAGTCGTCCATAAAATGCGTTGCACAAATTCGAACATCTGGGTTGTGCTGTTCTGTTGTAAATAAATCTAAACCAATGATTCCTAATTGCATCTACTTCCAGAAGGCCAAATAAAGTGCTTTTGCTTTTGCACTGAAACACAGCGTCTCCCTGAAATGGCTGCATCAACATGACTGCTGTTCCTGAAACCACACCTTCTTTCTTTGTGTGCACATTTGGGCTGCATTATGCTAATATTTCCACATAGTGAGGTAGATATGTGGGGACGTGTTAGAACGAGCCATTTTAGGTAGGTGTGGCTGACTCTTAACTTTTATAAAGAATATCTCTTTGAATTTGAGACTTTAGTCTTTGCAACTTTACTGATCTTCTTTATGCACCAAGAGCTTGTAACACTCCAAAGAGAAAGGAAAACTTGAAATCGCATCATATGACCCCTTTAAGATAAACAGATCAACTCTGAACATCACAAAACAAGCTACTAAAAAGTCACATAAAAACAGCAAAAAATAAAAAAAAATAGTAAGAATAAAATAAATCATGCCCCAATGCATGATGGGAGCTATTAATTAATTTTGATTGGTGGCACCCAGAATGCACTGCAATATGCTTTTTGATGGTCACCATTGTTGAGGTTCTCACGCTGATTCTTGATGTCTGTGTGCCTAAATGAAATAAGTTGTGTTTTTACATATATATATTGATCAGAAGAGCTTTTGTATATCTAGTTATGTTGAACATTCCAGACCATAAACAGCACAGTCACAGAAAGACTATAATTGATAAGTTAAATCCAGGTCAGACATTCAGGTCACACGATGGTGGCTTAAACATAACCAACACCACACAACCATTGTTTAGCATGGCTTGTCTAGTTGTTATAACTCAATTACAGTAGCCAATAAAGATCTGATTTCGAAACGTCAAGGGTCAAGAGCACAACTAAAGTAAACACTGACCACAGTTATGGTAACCTAAACTTTTGCTTTCAAGAAAACTGATTCTGTTTGTTAACATCAGGTGTCTTCAATAACTCTGTTTTGGGGGCCTGAAAACACAAGCTTTTGAACATGATGCCTGTATCATCTCCATGTAAACAACAAAAACGTAAATTTGTGAAGAAGGTTATGTCATGTGCATGCATATTATGTTTTTGTGGGGTGTTTCTAGATCGCCAACTACTGATCTCGTATATATACTATTAAACCAAACATATACTATTCATTAGCATAGTGTTTTTTTTTATGTCCAATTAATATTTTTGTTTACATTTTACTTAATTTTTTGTGCTATTTTACTCATTTTGAATGGTTAATTTGTAAGCATCTCATTTGATTAATTCTAATTAATTATTATGTGTTGAATTTAATTAATAATATTGTTTGTAATCTGTTTTACAATTTTAATAAAAATTTTATTGGGTAAATATAGTGTATCATTTTTTACAGTGTAGGTTGTGGGGCTGCACGGTGACAGAGAAAGGCTGTAGTTATGTGTCTGTAGATGATCTGTCTGTTAATCTATCTGTCTGTTGTTGTTGTGTGTGTAGGTTGTCAGGCTGTATGGTGACAGAGGAAGGCTGTGGTTATTTGTCTTCAGCTCTGAGTTCAAACCCCTCACACCTGAGAGAGCTGGATCTGAGCTACAATCACCCAGGACCATCAGGAGTCCAGCTGCTCAAACACAAACTGGAGGATCCCAACTATAAACTGCAGATACTCAAGTATGCGTGGAAGCTGATATGTTGATTTGTGTGTGTGTTAGTAACAGGAATATTTATTTATCTATCTATCTGTAACACTCCTGATTATGCCTTTAGAGGGAAACAAATATTTTTTCCTTCTGGATTCAGACACTGGTTATGATAAATATATATATAATCCAGCTTTTACACAACTTTAAATATGTCTTATTGTAGGTAGAAAAGATGTGGACATAGACCATTGATATTAGCACTGATGTATAATAAACTTTAGATGGGTTTTGAGTTGTTAGCATAGATCAGTGATTGTTACTCATATTCTTAGTATTACTTGTCTACTTTCTAAATAATCAGACATCTACATTCACAATCAAACATTTTCTCTCTTTAGTCTGGACCATGGGGGCCCTTTTAGAATCACTCCAAGACTGAGAAAATGTAGGTCTTGTTTCTTTCTCTGTCTCTCGTACATATGTAAAAGTGTTGCAAACTATTTTGACACATTTCTCATCTTGTATTCAGATGCCTGTGATCTCACACTGGATCCAAACACAGCAAACAATTACATCATTCTGACTGATGAGAATAGGAGGGCAACATATGTGAAAGAGCCGCAGCCGTATCCTGATCATCCAGAGAGATTTGTTGGTGGTGAGCGGGTTTTGTGTGGAGAGAGTCTGACAGGACGCTGTTACTGGGAGGTTGAATGGAGCGGCTGGGGTCAAGCAGCAGTGGCATATAAAGAAATCGGAAGGAAGGGAGGGAGTGACTGTAGGTTTGGATACAATGACAAATCCTGGAGTCTGGACTTCTCTGATAACAGATTCACTGTCTGGCACAATAATAAACGAACTGACTTGTCTGCCCCTTCGCCACTGTCTAATAGAGTAGGAGTGTATCTGGACTGGCCGGCCGGCACTCTGTCCTTCTACAGCATCTCTGACACACACACACTCACACACTTACACACATACAACACCACATTCACTGAACCCCTCTATGCCGGATTCAGGGTTTATGGGTCCTCACTGACTCTGTGTGAGATTCAACAACAAAGAGAAGATTTCTAACTAACTGACGCATACCCTAATCATTGATTTTTTTACAGACATTTCCCTTGTTTAAATAGATCAGTGGAAAAAAAAAAATAATATTAATCATTCCAATGCTCATTCTTGTTGTGAAAGAAAGAAAAAAAAATTGTGCCATCACTTTCTTTAAATGATTCACAGAATTGGCTGTTGTTGTTGTTTTCTGTTCAAGAGTCAAAATTTGTTATTTGCATAGTTACACTATAGGGAACTGGGCATTGAAATGTTTGTGACAAGGATCAGACTTATAGTAACATTAACAGGACTATACACAAATTTAGTAAACATGAGAAACAATTTTAGACACAAGTGGAGGCACTGGGATCTGAAAGTAGGTTCTGAAGCAGCATTTGGTTTGTCATGTGTTGCATCAGATACGTGTATGGTGTGTTTTTTATTCATAGTATGCATATACTTAACTAAATTGTCAAAAACCTGATATTCTGCTTCTCAAACGCGCTGGTAAATGCTAGTAAATATTCTGTTTTAAATACTTTTATAATGGTCATAGTATTGGGCTATGGGCACTGTCTGCTTATGCTACAATGCAGTTAAGAGTTCAGAGGAGAGTTCAATTTTTCATGAAAGTACAAAAGTCATGAAAGTGCATCCGGAAAGTATTCACAGCACTTCACTTTTTCCACATTTTATGTAATATCCTTATTCCAACCGAGCGGACAGAAATACAGCACTGTCTGGTAAGACTCGCAGTGGTGGCTTGTGTGTGTACGTCAACAAAGAGTGGTGTAACAATGCTGTGGTAGTGACAAAACACTGTTCATCGCTGGTGGAGTTTATGTTTGTAAAGTGTATGGGCAAAAAAGTTCAAACCCCTCACACCTGAGAGAGCTGGATCTGAGCTACAATCACCCAGGACCATCAGGAGTCCAGCTGCTCAAACACAAACTGGAGGATCCCAACTATAAACTGCAGATACTCAAGTATGCGTGGAAGCTGATATGTTGATTTGTGTGTGTGTTAGTAACAGGAATATTTATTTATCTATCTATCTGTAACACTCCTGATTATGCCTTTAGAGGGAAACAAATATTTTTTCCTTCTGGATTCAGACACTGGTTATGATAAATATATATATAATCCAGCTTTTACACAACTTTAAATATGTCTTATTGTAGGTAGAAAAGATGTGGACATAGACCATTGATATTAGCACTGATGTATAATAAACTTTAGATGGGTTTTGAGTTGTTAGCATAGATCAGTGATTGTTACTCATATTCTTAGTATTACTTGTCTACTTTCTAAATAATCAGACATCTACATTCACAATCAAACATTTTCTCTCTTTAGTCTGGACCATGGGGGCCCTTTTAGAATCACTCCAAGACTGAGAAAATGTAGGTCTTGTTTCTTTCTCTGTCTCTCGTACATATGTAAAAGTGTTGCAAACTATTTTGACACATTTCTCATCTTGTATTCAGATGCCTGTGATCTCACACTGGATCCAAACACAGCAAACAATTACATCATTCTGACTGATGAGAATAGGAGGGCAACATATGTGAAAGAGCCGCAGCCGTATCCTGATCATCCAGAGAGATTTGTTGGTGGTGAGCGGGTTTTGTGTGGAGAGAGTCTGACAGGACGCTGTTACTGGGAGGTTGAATGGAGCGGCTGGGGTCAAGCAGCAGTGGCATATAAAGAAATCGGAAGGAAGGGAGGGAGTGACTGTAGGTTTGGATACAATGACAAATCCTGGAGTCTGGACTTCTCTGATAACAGATTCACTGTCTGGCACAATAATAAACGAACTGACTTGTCTGCCCCTTCGCCACTGTCTAATAGAGTAGGAGTGTATCTGGACTGGCCGGCCGGCACTCTGTCCTTCTACAGCATCTCTGACACACACACACTCACACACTTACACACATACAACACCACATTCACTGAACCCCTCTATGCCGGATTCAGGGTTTATGGGTCCTCACTGACTCTGTGTGAGATTCAACAACAAAGAGAAGATTTCTAACTAACTGACGCATACCCTAATCATTGATTTTTTTACAGACATTTCCCTTGTTTAAATAGATCAGTGGAAAAAAAAAAATAATATTAATCATTCCAATGCTCATTCTTGTTGTGAAAGAAAGAAAAAAAAATTGTGCCATCACTTTCTTTAAATGATTCACAGAATTGGCTGTTGTTGTTGTTTTCTGTTCAAGAGTCAAAATTTGTTATTTGCATAGTTACACTATAGGGAACTGGGCATTGAAATGTTTGTGACAAGGATCAGACTTATAGTAACATTAACAGGACTATACACAAATTTAGTAAACATGAGAAACAATTTTAGACACAAGTGGAGGCACTGGGATCTGAAAGTAGGTTCTGAAGCAGCATTTGGTTTGTCATGTGTTGCATCAGATACGTGTATGGTGTGTTTTTTATTCATAGTATGCATATACTTAACTAAATTGTCAAAAACCTGATATTCTGCTTCTCAAACGCGCTGGTAAATGCTAGTAAATATTCTGTTTTAAATACTTTTATAATGGTCATAGTATTGGGCTATGGGCACTGTCTGCTTATGCTACAATGCAGTTAAGAGTTCAGAGGAGAGTTCAATTTTTCATGAAAGTACAAAAGTCATGAAAGTGCATCCGGAAAGTATTCACAGCACTTCACTTTTTCCACATTTTATGTAATATCCTTATTCCAACCGAGCGGACAGAAATACAGCACTGTCTGGTAAGACTCGCAGTGGTGGCTTGTGTGTGTACGTCAACAAAGAGTGGTGTAACAATGCTGTGGTAGTGACAAAACACTGTTCATCGCTGGTGGAGTTTATGTTTGTAAAGTGTATGGGCAAAAATGTGGCAAACACCTCACACTCACATACACACACACAAACACAGCAGTTAATGAGCCTGTTTTATTTTTATTTTTTTTCGAACAAAAACAGTCACTTGCACATACAAAACCAAAGAATTTAAGCTTTTTTTGTGCCACTCAGCCACTGCGCATGCACACACAAACACACACTTTTTTTGTTTTTACTGAAGTATAAGAAATATTAAATATAACATAAAAATAAGCATATTTTGCATAAAATATGGTACTTTTAGAGGTAAATAAATAAAATAAAAAACACTAAAAATAACAAAAAATTGCTTGAGGGTTAAAAAGCTGTCTATATGCATATCCGCTAATTGTTTACGAGGAGCACATGTATAAGAGGCTGACAATTAGCTGAACATATACGGTATTTGTTTAAATAGTGACACTTAGCCTGCATTTTAAAATTTGGATGTGGCAACATTTTTATTTTTAAACCTTTATTTGAATATGGATATTGAATATATCCATGTGTGAATATTATTTGAACATAATATAGTGCTCTACAATAGTTCCATGAATAAATCTCTGAAAGAGACTATCAGCCAATCACTGTGTGCATAGTTAGTAAGTATGCTGACATCATCCATAGCAATGAGCTCAACCCCACCCTTACACTTAGCTTAAAGGGGTCATATGATGCGATTTCAATTGTTCCTTTCTCTTTGGAGTGTTACAAGCTCTCGGTGCATAAAGAAGATCTGTAAAGTTGCAAAGACTAAAGTCTCAAATCCAAAGAGATATTCTTTATAAAAGTTAAGAGTCAGCCACGCCCCCCTAAAACGCCTCGTTCTAACACGCCCCCACATGTCTACATCACGATGTGGGAAGATTTGCATAACGCCTCCCAAATGTTCACGCAAAGAAAGAAGGTGTAACTTTTATTCTCACTGTAGTATTGTTGCTGCCACTGCCATATCCTGAAGACGCTGTGTGTTTCGTTGTGAAAGTGAAACTACTTTGTTTGGTCTTCCAAAAGAGGACGATATCCGCTTCGTTATGCCTAGAGCTGATCCGTGCTGGTCGCTGAGGAAATACTACAACTTTGTGCTGTCCATCGCCGGATCGGCTTTCATCGTGGATGAAGCGGAGTCCAGCCCGGGGTCGTCACATGTGGTTGCCGCAAGCCCTCCGGACACTCCTTCGTCGAATCTGCCGGCTGCGCCGTTCTCAAGCCCGCCGCTCACTCTAGGCCGCCGTGTGTAGACTACATTGTAGACTACAATGCCGGCTGTTCTGCCTCACAGACTGTAATTATGTCCCCACTGGATGCAACAAATGCCTCGTTTATAATGGGTTTTCATGTTTTTGAATCATCGCTCCGGCCTGACAGGGCATCATCACGGTATGGTAAGGGGCGTAACATTTCTGTCACACGCTTGAGGTATTCGGCCAATCACAATGCACTGGATAGCTGGCCAATCACAGCACACTTTGCTTTTTCAGAACTATGAGCTTTGTAAAATTCGGCGCGTTTCAGAAAGGCGGGGCATAGAGGAGAAACAATAATGTACAGTATGTGGAAAATAATGTAGTTTTTTTTACTTTAAACCGCATAAACACATTTCATTACACCAAATACACAAAATAATGTTCTTTTTAGCAGCATCATATGACCCCTTTAAGTCTATGGGTGGGAATATTTAGGCACTTCACGATCCGATCCGATTCCGATTCTGGGAGTCACGATCCGATTCTAAAATGATTCTTAATCTACATTTCTTCCTAATTAATTCTTCTGCTGTGCAAATACATCTTTACAGCTTTACATTTTAACCAAAATTGCAGTTTCTATGCTTTTTGTTGATAGAATCTCTGTCAGTACTGCCATCTTAAAAATAGGGGTGTGAACCTTCACTGGTTTCAATTCAGTTACGATTATCATTATCAACTCAATATCATGATGCATCACATTCTCAATTTTCAATATTACTGCACATGGCTACATTTTCATATCAATTTTATATCAAATTTATTTTGTGTAAAACTTACTTTTTTATTATATAAGCAGGCTACTTTTTAAAACAATTACTTATTTAAAATAAGCTAAAACTTATCTTTAAAGGTTAACTTATGGTTAATATAGTAATATGGCAATAGTGTAGTATATAAGAAAATGTCATTAAATAAGATCAGTTTAAGTAAAAAAATTATTATAATAATAATACTTTATAATTGCATGTATTGTACTGTGTGTGTATATTTAGAATGTGTTTTATTATGAATATGTTAACTATTGCTTTTCATACACTGGTCAATTTTGAGATTTTGGTCTACTTTACTTCCATAACATGACTTCTTTCAGACTAGGGGAAAGAAAACATCCAAAATACACATTTAAGTTTTTATTTAATGACACTTCAACTATGTCCATCGATGTTAGATTTCAATTTGTTAGATATCCGTTTTTGTCTTGTATCTAAAACCCAGTAAGTTTTCCTCTGGTGCTCCAAACTCTATTAACAATCTTCTGTCAGCCAAGAAGTTGACTGAGGTGTATTTGTTTCAATGCTCAGGCTGAAACATCTGATCAGCCCAAATCCAACAACTGTTATTATACCACAAAATAATAGCAATGGAAAATTACTGCTTCACAACAGTGTCCACTGAAGTTAAAATCCTTGAAATGGAGACATTCCCTGATCTCTTACTTATGAAGACAAATAACCCTTGAAACCACACATCATAAGAATAAACAACAATGGAAAAATATTATAAAATATAATATAAATGACTAATCAATGAATAAATCAATTAAATGTCTAGTTGTATAAATTATCTTATGATTAAATGGAATAATAAAATTATTAAATGATAAATGATTATAAATGAATGATTATAAAAGAAAGAAAATAAATCAACAGATGTATGCTTGCTCTCTTGAAGTAACACACATTGAATAATCCTTTAAACCCTTAAATATTTACAGGTTGTTTTCCCAAAATATTTTTTTATTATATGTTCTAAATTTTGAACCTGACTTTATTCAATGTTTTAGACTTCTGTTCTTTATTATTACAAAATGTATGTAAATGCGTCTATATTTAGTTAGGTAATGCCTCAACTGCACGTTTAAATAACATAAAAAAAAACTTGAAATATAAGACAATTCTCTGAAAGTACTGTGATTAATCAACTGAGGAAGTATAGTGATGTTTCTAGTTTTTACCCCATTCACCTTTAGCATTCTTCCTCTAAACTGATTTTACATCATTAGAGTCCAGGGAACAGGTAGAATTTCTTTACAAGGGTCGTCCTTTCGATACACGGCAACAGTTTCTCATTGTGTGTGAAACGTGGGTCAATCTCCATGCGTGAGGCGATCTATAAAAGACAAGATCATATTTGAATGTGACAAGAAGCAAACCCATTCATTTTAACAGAGCAATGCACTTTGGTGTGAATAAAATGAAAGAGATTGTTTTGACTTTTGGCTGGAATAAAGAAAAACAATTTACCCTCCTGAACAACTCCATAATGTCATATTTATGAGCGCTTGTAGTGAACACATCCACTATGTAATTGAAGAAATAACTTCCATTGTGAGGATTCCTGTATGCACAGACATCTGTGGAGATAATTCAGTCATTGTCAAGTCATACAATAAAGTGAAATGCACCCTTTAAAACTTTGCTCATTAAGGAAGAAACGTTCGCCATTTTGGATGATGTTTCATCAAACATTTGAGTTTCAGCAGTTCACCATGGCAGTTTCTTCTTAAGAGTGTGAAACAAACTAATATATTTAACAAAAGGAAAACTAAGTTGTTTTAATAGCTTCTACCTGACCTTGGGAACAAAATGAACAGCCAAATGTAATCAACAAATCAATCTCATTTCAGCAATCAGTGTTTCTGAGGACTCACCAGGGAGGCTGGACATAAAGCAGACAAAGTCTTTCTCCTTGTGAACCCAGGAGTCTGATTCAAATGCACTGTCACTAACATACACACCTCCATCATCACCTGGACAGAGAAATTATTCATGTGTGGGACATTTTCACATACTGTGAATGACTTGATATTGCAGCATGCAAGGTGAATAAATTAAGAAACAGTTACTGGGAAATACAAAGAGAAATGAGAAATTGCAACGCAATATGAGCATGTTATTGTCGTACCTCCTCTGCAGGCATGAATGAGAATAACCTTTGGTTTATCAATCAGAGCAGAACAATTGACTGAGTTCAGATGGGAGAAGATGTTCTCAACAAAGAAGTAATCACTTGGGTTCTTTCTCTGATAATGGACACCTAAAATGGCATCTTTATTGTCAAATCTGTCCCCATGGGACATGATGACCACAAAGGTGCTGTCTGAGTTTTGATGTTCATAACGTTTAGAGAAGTTCTTGACTGCTCTATTTATTGCCTGTGAATAAATAATCAATGTTTAGAAGAAATACATGCTATAAAATATAGAGTCTAATTCGACTTAAATATGTGTTCACATTTCTATTTCCACACTAGAAATCTAGCAGCTGGACTGGGCAGTATTGGTTTCATGAAGCCAGACTTTTGTCTTACGCACATCTCCAGAGAGATTTGTGTGTTTCTCAACGCTGTAACCCAAAGCTCTCAGCATCCACTCCATGTTCTCCTCATCTATCTCTGCCCCGGGCCTGTTGAGCTCACTACGGTCAAATTTAATGTTGTTGATTAGCAGAGCTGAGCCTTTCCTCCAAGAACTGCTTGTTGGCATATAAACCTATGAAAAAAAAACAAACATCAGAATTATGTACGATTAAAACACATGCAACTCCAGATGATCAATCTACATAAAATGCCATGAAATCGTTTGGTTTACCCATATCTCCAATATTATATAGATAATCTATGTCAATCTATGTTCAAATGTAATTTATTGCTGTGATCAAAGCTGAATTTTCAGCATAATTACTCCAGTCTTCAGTGTCACATGATCCTTCAGAAATCATTAGGCTTGTTCGACTTCATGCAAACAAATTTGTTTCAGAATGTTTTCATAAAGCAACAGAAACCCTTTTTATGCTGCTTAATACAGCCCTTCTGTTCATGAATAAGTTAAACATTAACATATGCTATTTAAATACCAATTAAGTGGGGGTGTATATGCTTTCATCAGTGTTTTTGAAACGTGACTCAATATAACAGTGCGACTACCTAAAAATGCTTTTTGTTATATTAACACAGATTTGTGAGTATTGGAATTGAATTGTTAGAATAAGCATGCAACACACATCATGCTTGTCATCAGAATCTAATCAATGAGAATAAAGTGTGTCGTCATAAAGGCTTTGCAGTGCCTGACCTAGACGGCTGGTCCCGTTTTGCTCTCGCGGTACTTTGAATGCACACGTGATCGTAGGGCGGCTGCAGCGCCGATCAAAGTTGGACAAAAGTATTTTAATGTAACCAGAATGGCATGACAACAACTCTTCGTCTTCTCTAAAGCAGCGCAACATGGCCCCGCCCCCTTTGTTGCATGTTCCCGGGGGCGGGGTTTATCAGTGTTTTTGTGACGTAACAAACCCGGGAAGTAACTTGTTGTAGTACCTATGAGCCGTTTTTGTAGGCATTAAACTGCCATAACTTTAAAAGACAATATCTCCGTTTGCATTGAACTTTCTGGTTCTGGCATTCTGGTTAGAATATTTGTCTGACTTTGATCGGCGCAGCAGCCGCCTTAGGATCACATGTTCCATCAAAGTACAGCGAGAGCAAAATGAGACCAGCCGCCGAGGTCAGGTGCTGCAGTTGCTCAAAATCGGCTGCGAGAGCCTTGATGACGACACACTTTATTCTCATCGGTCAGATTCTATGATGACAAGCATGACGTGTGTTGCTTGTTTATTCTAACAATTCAATTCCAATAATGCTCACAAATCTGTGTTTTTATAACAGTAAAGCTTGTTTAGTGTAGTTGCACTGTTATATTGAGTCATGTTTATCAAAAAACACTGATAAAAGCATTTATACCCCCATTTTATTGGTATTTAAATAGTATATGTTTATGTTTAACTTTATTCATGAACAGATGGCACTGTATTAAGCAGTATATAAAAAGTGTTTCTGTTGCTCATGTGTTTATTCTAACAATTCAATTCCAATAATGCTCACAAATCTGTGTTTTTATAACAGAAAAGCTTTTTTAGTGTAGTTGCACTGTTATATTGAGTCATGTTTATCAAAAAACACTGATAAAAGCATTTATACCCCCATTTTATTGGTATTTAAATAGTATATGTTTATGTTGAACTTTATTCATGAACAGATGGCACTGTATTAAGCAGTATATAAAAAGTGTTTCTGTTGCTCATGAAAACGTTTCTGAAACGTCACGTTATTTGACAAATGTTACGTTTAATTCACTTTATCTGTGATAAGAGTATGCAAGTGTCACCACCGGGAGCAGAAAGTGTCCGACTTGACATCTCCGCTTTTCATTCCTCCCCAACTGCAAGTGGCTGCTCTCCAGCCGGTGACAGGCTACTGTAGTTTATATCGAACAAGTCTTATAGATGTGTTCGACTTGACGCGGCGCTGTGCAGAATGATCAGTGTTTTACATCAAAGTACCGCGAGAGCGATTCGAAACGGGATTGGCTAGCGTCTGCGCTAGGGTATTTGCATAAGGCGATCTGATTGGCTGACACCTGCGTTGTCGCTTGAAAAGTTGAAAAGTTTTCAACTTCTGCCGTGAGCAATGCCAAAGCGACGCGATAGACCCACAATTCAATTCGCCAATGCTTGACATCATTCTGTTCAAAGTAAACGAGAGGCGTTGAAGCCGACGCCTCGTGTGAATGTACCTCTCGCAGCATTTTAATGTCATACACTGATCATTCTGCGCAGCGCCGCTTCAAGTCGAACATACCTAAACTAATATGCTGATTTGCTGCTCAAGAAACATTTCTGATTATTATCAATGTGGAAAACAGTTGTGGTTTGTGTAAACCGTGATAGATTGTTTTCAGGATTCTTTGATTAACAGGAAGTTCAAAATAACAGCATCCATTTGAAATAGAAATATTTTACACCACTATACATGTCTTTACTGTCACTTTTGATCAATTTAATGCATCAGAATTATGAATCTTAGAAGAAGGAACTTTGGGAATATCTTAGAAGGGTCAGGAAACACTGCTCAACATAAAATATAATTCACAACATGCTCTGTAAAGAAAAAAAAAATACACTGGAAAACAGTTTATGATTAATGTGCAGGAGTGTGAAAGTCAACAGTCTGGCAACGTTCTTTAACTTTGCAGGAAAGTGACTGTCCAAAAAGCAGGACTAATGGCTCCTGAATGTAGTATTTCACAAAAGTTCAAGGAAACAGAGATACTTGCATCATTTCTCTCTTGTGTAAGAAGTCTGTGCTTAAATTGCTGGCTGCATGCAGTAATGCTGTATGCTCTGAGCCAGTCGGACTGGATGGGCTGCAGCTCCATAGACTCTGGAGAATTTTTAACTTCCTCCTGCACAGGCTGCTGAACTGAAGGCAGATAATATATTTACATTTCAAATATGTATTCACATTACCTTAACTCCATTGTATGTATATTTATCTTTATTTTTCAAAAAGATGACTGCTATATACATATATATATATATATATATATATATATATATATAACGCTCAGAAGTCTGAAGCTTTGCTCGAGGAATCGGCTCAATGCCTGCCGTCACACCATTGCACAGCTGCCAGATGAATTGTTTGAGCTCTTTATCCACAAGATCCTCAAGTACATCAGTCATCACTCTTTTGATGTCCATTTTGTGTCACTAGAAGAAAAAAAATCTTGATTAAACAAAACTAATCACGGTGTTTACCGCTGTGGTTAAACTCTTACCAGACCTGAAATAAAACTGAAGTTTTAATTTATACATAGGCTAATGTCTGACTGATTTTGTTGTATGAAGTCGATTCTGATGACACAGTTTGTTAAACTTGTTTTTTTTACGCGATGTGCACATAAATTTAGTAGAAACTTTGTTGTGCTAAAAAATGCACCCCTGTCGTGAGCAGGGTCGGTGAAAGGTGGGGTGAAAGGTGGTGACGATTATAGGCTCTCTGATTGAGGCCAGTCTAAAAAGACGCTCAGGACAGTTGACGGGCCACTGCTGCGCATTCTACAGTTCATTTATGTAAGTGAGTATAGCAAAATAAAGCAAACTGTGACATATTATACCCAAAATATTCTTAATACAATGTACTACCAGTAAAATTTATAAAATAATTGTTCAGACACTTTGACCTGCCCATGTTTTGCTGAAGTGTTTTTTCTTTAATTGCTAATGCGACCTTTTTACACCACAGACTGAACAACATTAAGCATTGCTTGGTAATTGGACAACAAAGTATTGATAGTTGTGTAAATATTGTCATACTAACAGTTTTGGTTGATTGTAATCCATTACATACCTTTCTATCAAAGTTATCTAACATTATCAAGATCAATTTGTTCTGACACAGTTTAAGTTCTTGTCATATTTTATTACCATTTTCTAAACTATAGCAAATAAACTGTGATAATGTGAGAGTGTTGAAGGTGTCTGAATACATTTTTGTTTGATTTACATTTTTACAGTGAAGACTATGCAGTGATATCTTATTATTCGGTTTCTGTACCTGGACACATACAAACTTGAAACAACTTAAACATTGTGTAAATAGCACAAATATATAAATAGTATGAACATACAAATTAAATAATTTCAAACAGGGCTCACTGGTACAACCTGCTCTGGGGCCCCGCAAACCCCAGCTACGGCGCTGTCGCGGGAACGCATTCTACATCACACTTGTTCTCTAAAGTCCAGACACAATTAGAAAATGTGTTGGAATCATTTTTAGTAATCGTTTAGCAGGAGGACTTGGCAATCTGCTGAAATTCTTCCAAATATAGAAAGGATACTGCAGTGCTTTTTAAATCTACTAGATAATCTCAGCGTATCAAGTATAAAACTATTACTGTTTGTCTGAATTATTTCAGCCTACAAAAGAAGCTTGTAAAGTGGCATTTTGACAATGTATCAGCATAATATAACACATTTGTAATTTGTATTCGTGTAGAATCAAATGTATTGACTTTTGTTTAGAAGAAGAAAAAAAGTCTTTTGAATGGGCTTCGTCTGAACTCACTCTGAAATGGAACAAATGTTATGCTTTTCACAGCAAGCCAGTCTGCCAGGAAATACACATCCACATATTAGAAAAGTGTCACATCCATGAAACTTACTCCACTTAAACGCATCAGTCCTATATATACTCTCAAAATTAAGATCTCTGATTCCAGAAATCAAAATGCCATGCTAATCCATCTATTTATTTATTTATATATATAAAGCAGCTTTTAGCAATCTGTATTGTAGAAAGCGCTGTAGAAAGCAAACGTGACTCTACTTACGATTCTGCTTGAACAAAGTTTCCGTGTACAGTCTGCACTGGTTTGTTCCTTTGTTTAAAGGTTTGAGTTCTCTTAAGATATAAAGACCTCCTCAGCAGCTCATGTTTCTGTCAATCCGTTTTTTTTTTTTTTTGGTATTCAGTGTAAATGTATTTATTTAATATGATAGTACAAAGGGGAGAAGATCTTGTACAGTAGTTCGTAGAATGGCAGTTCATTGATAACAAATAGGTTGAAATGGATCTGTTGAATATTTGTAACATTGTCTTTAAAGGGAAAGTTAAAAACAGTGCTTTGTCATTTAAGAAAACCATTTGGCCATTGTAGATTAGAAGCTGTTAGTGCGGGGCCCTGGACTAAAGCAGCTTTGAACCCCAACAATGCCAATATTACCCCAACAAATCTAAAATTAACCATGGT